TATATATATATATATATATATATATATATATATATATATATATATATTTATATATATATATATATATATATAATTTTTGAGCTACAGGGTTAACAGCTATTAGTCACAATGGCTAATCTATAATAAAAAAGGCAATTTATTTACATTAAGTTTAGTTTTATTTTTTCCATCTTTGTTATTTCAGTCTGTGTAGGTGTTTTGCCACCTGTCAGTCACTCGCCATTGTTGAGCTAACGGCGTGTGGCTAACAGGTGGCTAATGGTTTAGCATATTTTAGCCACAGTAGCAGATGCTGGCATTTTGCCGCTTTAGACTGTGTTTCAACATTATTTTACTAATAAAATGTATGTATACAGTTTATTTTGAATACTTGGCTCTTAGTTTCTGTGTAAAACACCAACAACAACAAAATATTACGATCATTTAACAGCTTTCATAAGGAAATGAATGATTAAAATTAAAATGTGAAATTTTGACCTATTGATTGTGTGAGATGAAATTAATCACGTCTCAAGATACAATCAGCAAATCATTCATATATTATCCAAATCAATACAGGTTATTGGTAAATTATGCAGAATGAGCTGTTTGTTTTGTCATTTAGGGGTTTTATTGAATCACAAAGGGTCAAATTATATTTTTCTGTTCTTCCTTTATATTTGGAAATGTCATTTTGAGTCCTGCTCTGTAAAGAAGGAAACTGGTGGCAGAGTTAACAACAGGAGCGTTTTTGACCTTTGACCTTTGAAGTGTCTTGAAACGTGTGTTCAGTGTTTAAATGACACCACCCTACAGCTCCAGAAGGTAATATTTAAAAAAACGACTCAACAGCTGTCCAGGCCCCAATTCTTCTTTAGCGTTAATCTCATAAATTATAGGATAAGTCTTCAGTCTGCAGGACTAAGAGAAAATCCCACAAGCTGTGACATATTTACATAAATTGAATTTAAAGCTCCCTGTGTTAATCCATAAAAGCTTTATGTATGTCTCACGTTTACAGCTAAAATATGAGCTGATAAATTCTCGTTGTAGTTTATATAAAGCGGAGCTCCTGGTCCGAGCGCTGTGGCGCCGGTTGTTTCAAACTTCTGATGTAACTGTGTGAAAGAAACGCTGACGTCTTTGTCAACAGGAACAATCATTCCTGATCGCCTCCCCCTCAACTTTAGGTCTCCCATGACAACCTTCACCGTCCCCCCCCCACATTCCACCTCGTTACCAAAGTACTGATGTATGATCTCACATCGGGAGATGTGAAATTAGGACACGGACGACAGAAATCCACAAGACAAACAGAACTGAGGACTTATCGCAGACAAAAGGAATGAAACGGTGTCCTCCTTTCCAGAGCTGTAATTGCATTGTGTCCGACTGAAGGAGTTGCTGGGTCAAACTGTGACGTAGACGCTCGTTCACGCGCACGTGTCTTACATTCCAGCCGGTTGTTCAGAGAGAGGAACCGGCGCGCTCAGCGGCAGGCCGCCTGCTTTACATCCGGACGTTTTAAGACGTTCTTTCAGGGCGCACCGGTGAAGGATGAAGCTGTGACACCAGATGAGCCGGAAGTCCAGTTTGGCTCATTCTGATGATTTAGTCTTTTTTTTTTTCATGGAAATGAAACTAAATGTATTATCTCCTGATTCATGCTCAATAATCCAGGTAGAAAAATCCAACAAAGTTAAGTCAGGTCCTCTGGACGGTTTCTTTTTGTTTAAATGTTTTGTCTTTCATCCAAAAGACTTCATCAGTCCAAGGAGCTGCAACAAACTCAGTCTTATAAATAGCTCCTTCACACCAGTTTGATGGTGCTCAGATGGTTTCTGGAGTCCACCCTCTCCCCCGCTGACTCGTTTGAGGCAGTCATGGCCAAAGTGGTTCAGAACTTCCTGATTCATGCTCAATAATCCAGGTAGATGAATCTAACCAGGTTGAGTCAGATCCTCTGGATGAATTCTTCTTGTTAAAACTTTTCGTCTTTTACCCAAAAGACTTCGTCAGTCTGAGGAGACACAACAAACTCTGTGCTTACTATGCAAAGGTGCTGCTTATAAGAGTTAAGCCCCCAGTATACTCCCGCGTACGCACGTCCACGCGTACGTGCGCAGAGGGTTCAGACTTCATACTCAAGCGTTCACCCTGAGTGGCTGCAGAGCAGCTCCGCAGACAGGGGGCGTTTACCTTCGGGACAAATCGAGGTCGCAGATTGGTCATTTGCTGACACGCCTACTGGGTTGATTGACAGGTCGGAAAGAAAAAATAAACGAGCGCTGGCAGCCTCAGCCGCAGCGATGTTCTGTGTTTATATGTTGTTAATAAAAGGATCTTAAAAAAAAAAAAAAACAGGGAGCGCTGGTCCTGCAGCCCACACATCAGACCAGCCCACCAGGAAATCTCCAGACCCTCCCGCAGCCACGCTGGACCTGAGTTTCATTCGCTCGTGACAAATTCCTTCATTTCTCACCATTTCAGTCATGGCATCAACGGAGGAGGAAGAGATCACTGCCTCTTGGCAAAAAATCTAAAGAAAAGGCCAGATCAGGGATGAAGAAGAGAATTTAATACGTTGGTGTCTCATACAAAACAGTCCGTCGCCGGGCAGTTTATTGTGTGACACCGCGTACGCGGTCGTAAAAACTGAGCTTTGCACGGACATGCCCTGCCCGGAGGTACGCTTGTACCTCCACGTACGTACACGCGTACTTCCGCTTACGGATGCATGCGGGAGTACACTGGGGGGCTTAAAGGATGTGGTGTACGCCATCTGAAGTCGAGCAGTCGACTCGTGGTCACGGGACGTTTGTTTCATAGTCCACGGACCACGAGACACAGGCACGGGGTTTCTGGGAAACCCCTCCTGCAGAATACGTCACCACATGGGTTTCTTCCCAACAGAGTCTCCACTCCGTCCCTGCATCCACCGTTTGACCGCAAACCTATCATGGAGAGCGCCACACTTTTCAGCTGACGGACTCCTCCGTACACGATGTGTGCACGATCTCCATCCAAGAGGTTTGAGTCATTTTACCAATTTAGTGTGTTTGAGCTCATTGACGAACACGCCCACAAACCTCTGACCGATCACACAATGCTTGGTGCATACGCCCGCGAGACAAAGTTTGCACCGGGCTTTGTGTTGAGAAGGGGCGGAGCTACTCTGAAAACAAATGATGCAATTTTCGTCACACGACTGCGTCAACGAGAGCCAATTTTGTCACTTTGGACGGAGTATGCAGGGAGCTTTAGTTTGTTGTAGCTGTTCAGACCTAAGAAGTCTTTTGGATAAAAGACGAAACATTTCAACAACAATAATCTGTCCAGAGGACCTGACTCAACCTGGTTAGATATATTTAACAGTGTTAGGATCAACTGTGACAGGAATCTTTAGTCACATCAGGTCTTAAACTCTCCAGGCCACATTCCTCCCACGCCACTTTTAGGACAAATTTCCAGCGAATTCAGATCTGATCTGAGGTGACGCCTCCCCGTGCCGAGATAAAACCCTTCTCTCTCTGCTCGTCAACACTCAGTCACGTGCCGGCTAAATAGTAAGGAGTGAACCCTCTCTTCTAGTTTTTAATAGTCTAATCTGTTAAAAAAAAACATGTTTTATGTAACACAAAAACAAATCCAAGACGTAGCATCTAAACATTAGTTCCCCCTAAATATTCAGGACCAACAAGCGGTACTCTGATGACCTCCGTCACTGAGGGATTTAAACAGTGAACGTTTGTAGCTTTCTAGATGAGGGTTTTTCTGGATTGAATTAAATGAATGAAAGTAAACCTAAATGTTTTTAGGGTAAGATATTCAAGTGGGTAGGAGTTACACTGTGGAGAAGAGCAGAGGTAGTTTTTCTTTCTTGCCCGAGGCCGTGCAGCGTGATGGCGATCCAGTTTTCAAAAGGCTGCCGTCATAAACGCTCGTCAGTGCTGTGAGCTTGAGAACTTGAAAAATAAGAGGTACCGACTTCTTTTTTGGTGTGTGGCGGCATCTAGGTGTAACAAAGGTCCATGACAAGAATTTTACAGATTCTCTGTGACTCATCGGGTATAAAAATGTTTTTATTTCAGCCTGGACATTTGTAGCCATGTTTGTTTCTTTGAAATTGCCCAAAACCAAACTCTATTTTTTAATCAGTTATTTATTGTTTTTAAGCTAAAAGCACTTTAACGTTAACTAATTGTTGTTTCTTTCTGTTTTGACCTCTCAGTGTCTCGACCACGGACTTGTCCTGTAGGTTTGAATATGGCGGAGGCTGCTTGAGGAAAAGTCCAGACCAGTATAGCTCCAGGGGCAGCATGGAGAGCCTGGACCCACCCCAGTCTGTTCAACGTCACTCCACGGTCCAGACCCAGCACCCACTCGGCCACCACGGTCACACCGGACTCCACTCGGCTTACTCGTCCTGCCACCAGCTGTCCTCTGCCAGGTTCATAAAGAAAACACGACTTTTACCGTACGCAGCGTCCGGGTAGAGAAATAAATCTAGTCAAGTTGGAACAAGAGATCTCGTTTGATCAACAATTACTTCAGCTATGAAAATGAGACTATAAAGATACTGTAGGCTGTTTAGTTTTTATAACTTTTTAAAAATTAATTACGTAAATGGTGTAGAGAAGTTGCTATATATATATATATATATATGTATATATATATATATATATATATGTATATATATATTTCCTTAGATAGAGAACTTTACTAATTGGCTTTTCTATGTACGTGAATGCTCCTGTAAAGTGCCCTGAGACAATTTTGTTGTAATTTGGCGCTATATAAATAAACTGAATATGTGTGTTTGTGAGGTTAGATTAGCACAGGAGCTAATAAATATGACGCTAGCTCCAGAGCTAATAGCATTAGCTCCAGAGGTAATATATATGATGTTAACTCTGGAGCTAATAGCGTTAGCGCCAGCGGTAATATAAAGTATATGACGTTACCTCCAGAACTATTAGTGTTAGCGCCAGAGCTAATGCCATTTGATCCAGAGCTAATACATATGACCTTAGCACTAGACCTAGTAGCATTAGTTACAGCACTACTATCATTAGCTTCAAACCTATTACGTATATAGCGTTAGCTCCAGAGCTAATATATATGGTGGTTGCTCCAAAGCTAATAAATTAAATATCTCAAGTTGATCACATTTGATCGTTTCCACTACAACCATCTGCATCATCTCCCCAGAATGCATTGCGTGGGTAAAATAATGGCAATGTCCTCAGTTGAAAATAAAATAAGCATGTGTAATTTTGCAAGTAATTAGGAGTTTTCACATGTCACAAACAACACTTTTTAATAAAATAGAGAAATAACACATTAAGGCCAATGTGTTAAAGTAGTCGAAGAGCCCTTTAAAATGCAGATAAAATTTGTTTGGGTTTTCAGGATGATGCGTTCAAAGCGCCTGGGAAAAGCTAAAGTCTTGAATTAGATGCGTATGCTAAAACAATTGCTGTTAAAGTTTATACTCATTGTTGGGATTGCAGTGTATTGAATACACTCAGATATTGCCAATAACCGCACCACAGGTAAAAGGGATGGTCTGCTGCTAGTTGAGCCCTGACCGTGGTCTTTGTCTCCATGCAGACCTCTGAATCTGAAATTAAACAGACTTTTGTGTTCCAGGTCCTCAAACAGCATTGACCACCTGCACAGCCAGCGAGACTCCGCCTACTCCACCAGCTCCAGTATCCCAGAGTACCTTGCCTCGACCCCTTCGTTCAGCCCGGCGCGGTCCTACTCTCTGGAGACGGTCCCTCAGAGAGGCGGGGGGAGTGCAGAGATGCTGCAGGCAGACATTCATAACGTCCGAACGAGCTACGACGTCCATCAGGGTGGTCTCTCTCATGAGCGCGAGCTAAGCTCCGCCTCTGCTACGTTGCTTAGCAGCAGTGACTCCAGGGGCGCGGTGAGATCGGGTCTAAACCGAGATCTCCAAGGTAAAGTTTCAGTTTCACAGAAAAGTCGTTTAGGTATTACCTTTTTATGTAAGGCATCGTTTTTCTTTGTAGCTGGTGGGGTTTGTTACCGTGGCAACGACAGTGGCAACGACAGTGGCAACACCAGTGGCGGCGGCAGGAGCAGCGTACCGGCTTCAAACCGACACAGCGTAGGACCGATATGGGGCTCGGCAGCTAGCTACAACTCCTACGAGAGCCTGAAGGGGGCGCCCGCTCCACCGAGGCGCAGCGACAGCTACGCCGCCATCAGGAACCACGAGAGACCAAACTCCTGGTCCAGTCTGGAGCATGCTCGGTCACTACGGTTAGGAGCGTCTCCAAACCTGAAACCTGGCACATTTGTTTGGGTAGCCCAGTCCTAATGTTCATTTTGATTTATTTTACTCAGGTCTCTGCAGAAAGGGTCCTGCCACCACTCCAGTGGACCTGTTGCCTCAGGTACAGTGAAGTGCAAAAGTCTTAATGCACTTTGATTTGCTATATATTTAACTTCCAAAGATCTATGTTCTTAAAAATGAAAAAAAAAATCTATAAAAGGCCTAAGAGATATTGTTTTTTTTATCAATTAAATTAAAAAATGGGGCTAAGCGGTCTCTTTGTGACAGACTGCTGCTGAGAAAGAGCCTAAAGACTGAATTTATTAAGTTGTCCGTTTTGTGTCAACGCGATGTTGTCCTGAAGATTCATGGGTCGTTCAGTGGCTTAACAAACAAGACATGGAAAACGTGAAGAAGAAGAAAAAAGTCAGACTTAAACCTTCGAGGCCTGTTGATCAGGAGCACTTTACATATTTTAAGAGTGTTTGAATGGAAGAAGAGAAGAAAGATGGCGGGGTTTAGATTCTGTAGCCCGACAGGAATCCATCTTCTGTATTTATTGTTGTAAAACGGTCAAATTCCATAAAACTGATGAACTCCAATGTCCTACTTTAGTTGCAGCTAAAGGTCCGTATGGTCTTGAGGGTCAGCTCCACACTGTGATGGAGAAGAGTCCAGAGAGCAGTCCCACCACAAAGCCTCGGCAGGGTGGAGGGTTCTCCCTGCCCCCGTCTCCTACCGGACCTACCTCGGGGCCGGCGGGTCCTCTCAATGGGACATCGGCTACAGAAAATGGCCACCAAAACAACTCTTCACCGTTATCCCATTCGGCTTATTTACCGTCTACCTCTTCGCAAATCAGGACCCGAGGACACGAGGCAGACAGGTGACGTCATGAAGTCCTCGGTACCAGGATCTGAAACCTCGTCTTGCTTTTCTAACTTTGTCCCGTCTGGTCTGTAGGCATCAACAGCAAGAGTCCAACGCTGGACCCCACAGGCCACACGGGAAAACAACTGGAGGGGAATCGGACTGTCAGATCTGGGCCCAAAGGCCCCAGAATCACCAGGGACCTTTTATTCAGAACTTCCAAGTTCCCCATTCCCAAGAACAGATCCAGGACTTTAGGGTTCCTCCTGTCTACTCAGGTCCAAGTCTTAGAACCTGTTCCTCTCAGGAGAAGACTGACCCGCGAGACAAGATCAGGTAGGCTCCAGGATCAGAGGTCCGATCTGCCCGGTTCCTTTCCTCTGGGCTTCTGCTGAGTTGATCTTGAGTCACACTGATTGTGTTTTTCACTTACGTTGCATCTTTAAGATTTTAGCTAATGTGTGGCTAAAATTAGCTTCATCTGTATTTTTGCTACATTTAGCCTTTAGCAGCAGTTTCTCTAATTTCAGCCGTTAGCTTGCAGTTGTGTTTATTTTAGCTTTTAACTAAAGTTTTGCTACGTTTAGCTTTAAGTCGCTGTTTTGTTAGTTGTAATTTTGAGCTATGTTTTTGCTAATTTTATCTATTACGGTAGTTAATTTAGAAAAGTTTAGCTATTAGCTAAAGTTTTAATTGTAGCTCTAGCTACGGTTTTGCTTATATTTGCTTTTAACTATGATTTTGCTCATATTTGGTTATTGTTTAGATGATTTTAGCTTTTAGCTACTGTTTAGCTGATTTTAGCTTTTGGCTATAGTTTGCCTATTTTAAATTGTATGTACTGTTTTATTAAATTTAGCTTTTTAGCTATAATGTAGCTACATTTAGCTTTAAGCTAAAGTTTAGTTAATTCTAGCTCTAGCTGCAGTTTTGCAATTTTAGCTTTTAGCTATAGTTTGGTTACAATGATTTTTTTTTTAGGTGCTGTTTGTCTTAAATATAGCTTTTAGCTATAGTTTAGCTACATTTAGCTTTTAGCTAAAGTTTTGTCAATTGTAGCTTTAACTACAGTTTAGCTTATATTTGCTTTTGTCTACGGTTTTGCTCGTATTTGGTTATTACTGCTATTTTGCTGGTTTTAGCTTTTAGCTACTGTTTAACTGATTTAATCTTTTAGCTATTGTTTTGCTACATGTAGCTATTAGCTAAGGTTTTGTTGCAATGTAGCAGTTAACTTAAGTTTAGCTAATTTTAGCATACAGTTTTGCTTATATTAACATTCAGCTATGATTTAGCTCATTTTGGGCTACTGCTATGGTTTTCTAGTTTTAGCTTTTAGATTTTGTTCTTTCTGTTTTTCTTCAGCATGTTTTGACCTTACCGAAACGTTTTTGGCTACTTCGACTCGTTTCAGTTGAATTCAAACATCTGGTCATTTTCCTCGTCTCCTCCAGATCCAGAGACCTGTCCAGCGTTCATCCAGACCCAGCAGCTTCCTCCCGACTCCCCCAGGGACAAGTGCGGCCTACCTGCGCCTCACCTTCTCCGCCGCAGCTTCAGGCTCCTCCCACCTCCGTCCTGCCCCCGTGTTCTCGTCACCTCGGCGACTCCTCGGCACCTCCGCCCCGACCCTGGAGCCACGGAGACCCGGACGAAGACAGCGAGCACCCGCTGACCCGCCTGGAGAACGCCCTGCACGAGGTCCAGCGTTCCGCCAGCCCCGACGGCGTTTTCTCCGGTGGTAACCACGACAACGGCTGTCACGACAACGGCTGTCACGACAACGGCGGTCACAGCGACGGCGCCCGCGGGCCCGTCCGGAGCCTGTCGGTGTTGGAGAAAGTCAGCCGATTCGAGCGTCAGGAACGCGGCGTGAAGAGCGGCGGCGTCTCGCACAGCAAAGCTCCTCACCTGCAGGTGCTGAACCCGAAACATCCAGAGTTTACTCAAGTCCAAACCCACAGCCGAAGTTAATTCAGCTGCGTTAGCTGATGTTCTCCTTTTTAATGGTTGATTGTTTCTGAATCAGATGGTCGATAAAGGCCGAAGTTTCCCCTGTGGAGCCGAAGACCTCAGAAATATGTTGGAGAGGAGCACGAAGGAGGCGAAAACCTGCAGGACGATGAGCTACAGAGGAGGCGGCGAGACGAAACCCGGGTAAAAGAAACAGATTTTATTTCAAAGTTCTGCTCTTTACGAGATTTTCAAATTAAAACTGTTCATCGGTTAGAAAACGATAATCCGTTGTCCGTCCCGTCGTGGACAAGCTGAGTGTATGAATGTGTTGAGAATCAGAGGAGCTCCTCGAGAAGAGCTGCAGGTTCTGAGTTAACACACCGCCAGGGTGGAAAGACATCAGCAATGAGCTCAGAGATGCAGCTGTCCATCAATCTGGGAAGGGTCAAAGGTCACATGGAGTCCGTCGTTCTACAGAGAGGAAGATGAGTCACACGTGAAAAACTTAACACAGCTGACAGTCTTCACCCCAAAGGTCAGACCGTGCAGTGACTCTACAGGCCTCAGTCAGCAGGTCAAAGGTCATGACCTCTCCTCTCTAAAACCAACATGGCAGCTTGACTTGGGTTTGTAGTTTCTTCTGAAGGAACCACAAGACTTCTGGACCAGAACCAGAGCAGAGGACATTTGTTTACCCAGAATGCACTGCAGCAGACGGCTCCTCCCAGCTGTCAGCACGGTGGTGGAGGCTGATGGTGCGGGCTCTTCTGCCCTTTGACTCCATTCATTGTGAATAAATTAAACTTCTCGCGTTGTTTTGTTTTTTTTTCTGTTGGGAGCGCAGGACTCCAGCTGATCCCGTCTCAGCCCTGCAGAGAAGCCGCAGCAGCTTCCAGCTGGACGGACTGAAGGACGGGGACACCAGCAGGGACTTCCCCTGGAGCCAGAAACCCCAGGAGGTCATGGACCCCCTGCAGGACCCGTTCCCCATCAGGTCAGCGACCCCTCAGAGTCCGCAGTCCTTCAGTTTGTAAACGCAATCACGCTGACGTTCGGTGGTTTGATTTTTCAGGGACGGACACTCAAACGTCCATCGCTCATTTTCCTTCAGACGGAACAACCTGAACTCCTCCATCAACCCTCCACCTCCTGCTCCTCCTCCTGCCTCCTCCTCCTGCAGCCTTCAGCCTCCCCCTATCCCCGCCAAGGAGAAAAAAGGTCCAAAGACCAGGCCCAAACCGCAGGGCGTGGTCATCACGCCGCTGGTCCTCTCCCCTCACACCCCGAAGGAGAGGCACGTGGTCTGTCCGGACGTTCGAGGGCAGAGCCCGCCACCCCTCCCCACCGTGCCTCCGGTCGGGCCTCCTCCCCTAACGAGGATCTGCGGCCGCAAGCGTCTGACGGCCGACCAGAAGAAGCGTTCCTACTCAGAACCAGAGAACCTGAACGAAGTCGGAGTTCTGGATCCTGAGATTTCTGCGCTGTTCCGGCGTGGAGGAGGTGAGAACGTCTCGTTTGGCCTCGACGAACAAACGACTTGTATTTTCCTTTTTGTTTGACATTTCCTGCGAAAATGCAAAGTGATTTTTGGAAAAGGTGCTGGACGAGCTGAAGCTTACCTGGAATACAATAATAGCTGAAAGGAGCACAACAAATAACTGAAAAAAACTTTAAATTTGCAACAAAAAAGCTAAAATTAGCAGGAAACTCACTAAAAAGTAGCTGAAAAAGATGATTTTGTTGAAAGCAACTGAAATGAGCAACAAATAAAATTAAATTAGCAGAGAAATGTCAAAAGGAGCACAAAAGCTGCAAAAGAAAGCTACAAAGAGCTTAAAACCTCTGAAATTAGCAGAAAAGTAGCTGAAAAAATGCAAAAAGCTGAAATTAGCAGAAGCTGAAAGAAACATAAACCATTCAAATTTGCAAGAAGACGCTGACATGAACACAAAAAAGACTAAATTAGTTACAAAGTAGCAGAAAATAAACTAATTAGCAGAAAACTAGCAAAAAAATCAAATAGCTAAAAAAGCTGAAATTTGCTGAAAGGAGGATTAAAAGCTGAAATGAGCAGAAAAGAAAAAAAAGCTAAACCAGAACAACAGCTGAAAGGTGCAGTAACAGCACAAAAAAATTGAAGGACGTGAAGAGCTCTGTTCATTTTCAGTGAGAAAAACATGGCCGACAAAGCTAAATATTCAAAAGTTTAACGTCTCACTAACACCAGAAGTCACAGCAGGAATGTCCTGAACGAGCCGAACGTTTTAATTCACCAATTGTTGAAAGAGGACAAATGTTGTGCAGCGGAAAACGTCCGGAAACTGAAACAGCGTCTTGGTGTCGTCCTCCAGAGACCAGCGTGGCCGACCGCAGGAAGATGTTTGAACTCGCTGCGGTCCGTGGTGGTGACGGGGCTCCCCAAAGAACCATGTCTCGGTCCGACCTCAGGCAGGTCCGTCAAGACGCTCTCGTCGAGTACATGGTGAGGAAGACGGGAGCGAAGAGAGACGAAGGACCGAGGACCGGAACGAGGCCTCGCAGTGCCTTTCTTCAGCTCGAGAACAGCAACCACTCAGGTGAGGACCGACGTCAACGTAGGTAGAAGTTAAACGCAGCTTCACCCCTCGACCTCGACGCCTCTTTATGCCTCCACTTGCCTTTTTACCCTTTTACGGATCGACCATTATGGTTCCGATCTTAGTTGGAGGCTCCAAACTTTATTACCCCGATGTGCCGTCACTGGAGGAAGATCGGTAGAAGGTCTACCAGACCTGGCTCGAAGAGGCTTTAGAGTTTTTAGGGATGGACTTCAAATGATTCTTTGTATATTAGAACTTTGGCCCAAACATAGTTGCAGTTTGTGTCACGTGGGACAACTCGTGGACTTGACAGGGTCGTCCTCCTGTAGTGGAGTGACCCGTTGACACTTCTCACCGAGAAACAAGGCGACGCTCGAAATCAAGACGTACGGATTAGGACCTTGAGAAAGCACTGATGAATGTGTCGGTTTGAAGAATAAGATGAGAAGAAGATATGTTTCAATAATGTTTGTTTCCCTTTCTGACACGTCCACCCCCTTCTTTTATCGTCTTCTGTTCCTCAGACACCTTCAGTCTCTCCTCCACCTCCAGCCTTCTCTCCCTCCAGGAGCCGGACCCAGATCATCGTTTCCTCTCTGAGGAGAGGCGTCTCTGCTCAACGCTTCCTGTTGGCGCCGACCTGTTGAGCCTCCAGTCAAACCTTTTCCACCCGGGCAGGGTGACCACGCCCAGACCTCCGGCTCAGCCAGTGCCCAGGTAACCAAACCCAGGCTGCATCCAACTGGATTTTAGGCAGGACCAAGATGTTCCTGAAGGCCCTCAGTGGGTTAAAGCTTTACTTCTTCAAACTGTGACTCCTCTCATTGATGTTTCCCCCAGTGCTTCGGCTCTTGAGCTCCATGCCCATGGCTACCAGGAGCTCAACCCTGAAACAGCTTTCAGACAGAGCCATCGCCGGAACTCAAGTCAAGACCAGCAGAACGCCGAGTTCAAGCCGGGACTGTCTCAGAAGCTCAACGAGGCTTTGCAGCGGGCTGGGTCACACCGCAGGTCTGGGAGGTCGGCCTCTGCCGAGAATCTCCTGGAGCGTTCGGAGAACAAGCCGTACTCTCCTCAACACCACCGCTCACGGTCCTCCCCAACCGTAGAGGAGCTCAACCAGGTAAAACCAGTTAACTGGCAACGGCCTGCCCGCAGGTCTTCCTGACGTCTTTCTGCTTTCAACAGCTGCTACGCGTTGCCAGGCGCTCCTAATTTAAAATGGTGGTACTGTAGACCCTCCTCTTTTGATCGACACCTCATTTGACCAATCGGGTCGATCTATGGTCTCTCCAGAGCCAATGGTCTCGACCGAGCGTTGTGCTCTGACCGGGGACACCCTCACTCGTTTGCACACAGAACTGACCGTTCAGCTCTGACACAACCAAACTCCCGTCACGTGGATATCAATGTTCGCGGGTGAAATCTAAAATGGAAGCAGGAAATAAATTCTGGAATTATTTATTAGCCTGAGCCGGTGCACACGCCTCTTTTTTTTAAAGGCGGAAAATACTTTGATTTGCAGTTTATTTTAACTTAACGTTGGCAAAAAGTACCGTAAAGAGAAAATATCGCTCTTACGAGGCGGCTGAGTGGTGTAAGAGGAGGAGGAGGGATTTCTTTATGACGCTGGTGTCCAATTCGTGGACCTGTTGGACTCCATGTGGACACTTAGGAATACGCATGGAGCTAATCCCATACAAATATGTCAATAATGAACATTTCTGGTGCTACTTCTACCAAATTTGAACTGGTAGTAGGTAAGACGATGCTGCAGCCTCGTATAATATTCCAATTTAACCTCTACGATGTTTATGACATGAATTCAGGGTTACCTTCACAGAGAGACCAAGCGTTTGAGTTTACTTCGAAGGGTTCAAGAACAGCGTTTAATTTAATCTGGGTTCATTTATTCTGGTGTTTTCGGCCTCCTGTTTGGCGACGTTTAACAAATTGCTACATGAAGACCTCCAGAAACGCACAAGAACCGACCATATTTATGGGAGCTTCTGCAGCAGCGCCAGCCTCATTGTTCCGGACCGCACCGTGTAAACCTCCGTAAACTGTTCTGTGTTTCAGAACCTAATGTCAGGGGACGTCAAGACGTTTGGCGTCTCTTTCTCTGAGGCCGAACGCTGCGCTCTGGCTGCAGACAGGTACGTCTCCTACGTAGCATGTGACCCAACAAAGAGCCAACAATGACGGCTTCCTTGTTCGGTTTGTTGAGCTCTGCCGAGCCTTTTATTGATCAGTATCTTTCTGTATTTCTTCTGTATTTGTTTGACTCAGTCCGGCAGACGTCCATGCCGTCCCTCCTCAGAGGTCCCAGTTCATTGAGACCACTCTCCAGTCTCCTCCTCAAGGTAAGGGATGAAAAAGAAGGGTTTCATACAACAGCAGTTAAACAGTGGTCCCTCACCCATCGAGGGGATTACGTTCCAGAGACCCCACGGTCGGTGAAAATTCATGAATTAGTGGCGTTATCCATCCATCCATCCATCCATTATCTTTACCTCCTCCTTCCTTTTCATGTCACAGGTTTAAGTTTTTATAAATTCTTCCCACATTGCTACAAACCTTTCCCACTCTCTTATAAACTCTTGATGTGCTCCTAAACACTTTGGTGATGAAGACGATGAGATGGATGTTCAGTACGTTGAATATTAAAAACCTGCGTTAAAAAACTTGTTGTTAAACCACGATTTTACCAGAACCTGCTGCAGTAAATACAAACTTTTTATGTTGGACTTAAACTGAAGATCTTTACCGTTACATCTGAACTTTTAGATGTTTAGTTGAAATCCAGGCTTAATTTGAGCTGAGGAGAAGTTCTCGCCTTACTGGTCTGTCTACGTTCAGGTTTGGATCAGGTCCAACAGAACTAGATCTAAGTGGCTGAAATGATCGTCCAACAGCGGTCGAGCTCGGCCTTAGAGAAAAGGCGAGGAGCCCGGAGCGAAGTCGCTGCTCCTCCTCGTTGACAGGAGTCAGCTGAGGTGGTTCGTCGTCTGATTAGGATGCCTCCGTTTGGGGAGGAGACTCCTGGTCTTAACATGTGATTCTTGACCTGCCATTGTGTATCTGTTACATCAGTCTGCTCCTCAGATAAATAACGTTCAATTATTATTTTATAGATGAATGTTTCTGTTCAGTCCCTGAGACGACTTCTGTTGTGACTTGGAGCTTTAGAAATAAACTGAATTGGACTGAATTGATCAGACCCAGAACTCTTTGAAGGGATTATCGTCTCTGGCCTGGTAACGTCTCAGAATCTCCCAAACCGAGTGTTGTTTGGGAAGAGGGATGTCTGGGCCTCTCCTGGACCTGGAACCTCCTCGAACTGGCCTTGAAAAGGGGCAGAACATGGATGGACTGAAACGTGTCCAGATAAAGACGTTTAGTTGTGAGGTTTTATGTCTACCTTTAGCTTTAGAGCAAGTCCAGACCAGGCCTCTACGAAGAGCTTAGATGTTCTTCTCAAGGAAGAAATGCTTTTTGGTTCTGAAGCTCCTGAATGTGTGAGCTAAATTTAGCCAGAGGTATTCTGGACCAAACAATGGCAAGAACTGGACTAAACCTTGGAATCTAACCTTCTGGTTCTGTGGATCATTTAGTACCTCAGTGATCAAACTGTTCCTCGGTTCTGGTTTTAGATCCCGCCCACACTCCCGTCACTCGCAGGGAGCGACAAAGGAACGGCGAGCGTCTGCGTGCCCACAGCACCTCCACCCTGGCAGCGTCGGTCGGCCTCCCCTGCCCCTTCCCCCCCGCCGGGACCCGGGATGGAGACGCCGCTGAGTGGAGAGCCAGCGAGAGGCTCAGCCAGGCCAACCTGGACGCCATCAGCTTCCCCGACGTCCCTCAAACAGACGTGAGCAACAGAGACGAGACTCCGGTGAGGGACAGGCAGACCAGATCCAGTCTTAGTGACGTGTCAGGAGACGCCCCGGAGGACGAATACAGGAACCGAGCCTTCAGTCTGGAGTGGACGGGGAGGAGTTCTGAAGAAAGAACCAAACCAGTTTCACCTTCATCGGTTCTGCCTCTGGACAGGAAGACCAGCAGGAGCTCCACGCCTCCTCCATCCTCCCATCCATCCGTCCGCCACCTGTCCTCCCTGAGGATCTCTGAGTCCAGCCTCTCCGGTTCCTTCGAACCTCAGCAGCTAAGGGCTTCCACAGGAACCTCCCAGGAGGACCTGGATGAGGTCTTCTTCCAAAATCTTCCTCCTCCTCCTCCTTTAACTCCACCTTTAAAAGAGACAAGCATCGTGGAGGACTTCCCTCCTCCACCTCCTCCGGAGCTGGAAGCCGAAGAGCAGATCGAGCGAGGGTTTGTTCTCCGACGTCAACGCATCACAATCTTCATTAAAACGTCACATTTTATCGTTTTTATTTGAGTTTTATTTCAGAATCCAAAAATTCTGTCCCAACCAGGAAGTCCACGTCCACCACAGCCGAGGACAACGTGGAGTATCAGCTGCTGCACAAAAGGGACAAGAGCCCCGAGGAGCTGAGAGCGGAGGCGCTCGCTCGCCAGCTGGTGTGTGTTTGAACGCAACTTTATTTAAACCGTCAAACAGAGACGAGAGTTACAGAACGAAACCGAGGACAGCAGCAAAAATAAAAAACGCTTTAACACCGGCTGCAAGAAGTAACCTTCAGTGAGCTAAAATGAGCTAAACTAGCTAAAAGCTAAAATGAGCAAATGATAGATGAAAGACCATATCAGCAAAACATTGTTAGCTAAAGCTAAATTCAGCAAAACAATACCTAAAAATTAAAATGAGCTTATTGCAACTAAAAGCTGAAATGAGCAAAGCAGTAGCTGAATAGACATAAGCTAAAAACACAAGCTAATAACTACAATTAGTAAAATTAAAGCTAAAAGCTATATTTAACCAAAATAAAGCTGAAACCTAAAATGTAGCTAAAAGCTAAAATTCGCAACCAGTTGCTAAAAGATGCATTCAGCAAAACAGTTCCTATAAATTAATATAAGCTAAAATGTGACTTTATGCTAGCATTAGCAAACAATAGCTGAAAGGTTACATTAGCAAAACATTATCTAAAGCTAAATTTAATGAAATTTTAACTGAAAGCTAATTTCAGCAAAACAGTACTTACAAATTAAAATGAGCTTACTGTCATTAAAAGCTAAAATGAGCAAATCAGTAGCTGAAAGGACATGAGCTTAAAAAAACACAAAGATAAAAGCTACAATTAGTAAAACTATAGCTAAAAGTTAAATTTAACCGAACTAAAGTTGAAACCTAAAAAGTAGCTAAAAGCTAAAACTCGCAAGATAGTTTCTACAATATAAAATAAGTTAAAATGTGATTTCATGTTAGGATTAACTAAACCTTAGCTAAAAGATAAAATGAGCAAAACAGTAACTGCAGCTAAAGTTAACAAAACTTTCCCTAAAAGTTAAAATTGGGTAGACTTTTGCTAAAACGTTAAGCTAGCAAAACAGTAGTTAAAATACATTAAGTTAAATACATGAGCTTAACAAATTTGCTAGATGCTATAATTAGTAAAACAGTAGCTAAAAGTTAATGTTAACTAAACTGAAGCTGAAAGCTAAACTGAACAGTTGTAGCTAAAAGCTAACACGAGTGAAACTGAACCTACAAATTAAAATGAGCTAAATCTTCACTCAAAGCTAGGATTAGATAAACCATAGCTAAAAAATAAAATAAGCGCAACATTAGCTAAAGCTAATGTTAACAGTTTTTAAAGAAAAGCTAAAACTAGCAAAACAGTAGCTAAAAATACATTAAACAAAACGGTAGCTATGAGCAAACTCGTGACTAAAAATTCAAATGAGCAAAAGAATAGTTAAAAAAACGTTAGCTGAGTTGTTTAAATAGCTAAATGCTAAATGTTACAATACCTCAACCAAAACAAAAATTAAGCTAAAATTAGCGACAGTAGCTAATAGCTAAAGGGGCCATAAAAGCAGCTGTAACAGATTATAAACAGCTCTCTGTGTTTCTTTGGGTAAATGTTAAAAAAAATAAAGTTAAATAACTCAAAGGGTATAAAAGTTAAAAAAGCTAAAAGTCTTAACAGACTTTCTTGATTAAGCCGAACGTTTTGATTAACAAACAGCTAAAACATACGTATGAAACGGTAAAGTAGCTGCGTTGACGTCGACTCCAAACTTCACTTTGAATCCTTTAAAACCAGTTTTTATTTCTCTGTTTAGTCCTGATCGTTGCTTTTCTCGCCTGCTTTCCTTTGTCCTGTCCCGACGGATCCCAGGTGCTGCGGGACCCGTCTCTGGCGCCCCTCCTGGACACCTGGGGGGGCAAGTCCACCGTGGAGCTGATGGAGGAGATGTTTCCAAACAGCCGAAGGGCCGATAAAACCCCGGAGCCGCTCAGAGGCTCGACGTGTCCCGATGAAAGGTAGATCCAATCGGTCAGAGCCGTTCCTTCGGCTCCTAGCAGCTAAAGTTGGATTTAACTAAATCTGCTCCTTGTCACAGCGATGAGACGTTCCTCAGTAACAGCCGAGGTTCCTGAAGATAATCCAACATTTATCTCTCGTCTTCTGAATGGAGACCGTCTGCCGCTGCTCCCTGATGGGCGCCTCCCATTTGTTTTAACAGGGGGCCCACTGAGCATCCTGGGGGCACACCAAAACAAAACCCTCCAAATTGTTCTTTTAAATCTTTTATTTTGATGAGCAGAGACCAGAACGATCTTTGAGGCTTTTTGTCCTTTTCCCCTAAAAGTCAGATTTACATTTTTTATCTGAACGTTCACTAAAAACAAGCTTTCTCAAGTTTAAAGCCACTTCCTCTAATTATTTTAAAATACATTAACTTGCTCGGTGCTTTCGTGAACAAAAATATATATTTTGTGTAAATGTCTTAACACTGAGAATACAGCTTGTTCTCTCCTAAATTTATATTTATAAAAAATATTTTGCTTATAACCTCCTGAGACCTGCATTCTGATGTTGTCCTTTTTCACGGGAACTAGATTTTATTTTATTATTATTATTAAAATATATATATTTTAACTTCTAATTGTTAAAAAAATAGATTTATGTTTATGAGGTTTTACTAATCCTAAGTAGATAGAGGAAGCTAAAAATGAGCTAAAGAGAAATAAACTGTCCAATGGGTGTCATTGTGGCGATGCAATTTTTTTAGGGGTGGCCATAGCCCCCTTTGACCCCCCTTTCATGGCGCCCCTGCTCACTAAGTTATTCCACTCTGTCTTAAAATCTGCTTTTTGAGACCCTGAGGGGACTCTGCTCGACCTTTGACCTTTGTGCGACAGCTTCTTCTCTAAGGTTATTGCTGTTGTCATTCCACCTTGGCGTTGTGTTACATACCTGGACACTCGGGAGCAGCAGAACCTGCAGACGGTGCTCCTCTGAGGTCCTGCAGAAGCAGCGAGGCTCCAGCTTTCAGTTTCTGTTGGACGAAGCACGAGGAGGAGGAGTCGAGTGTTTTAATAAAATCGCTCGACTTCCAACTCCTCATCACCGGGACAACGCCGGCCCCTGGAGTTCTGCTGGACTCAACCCGACTCCTGGAGTTCTGCTGGACTCAACCCGACTCCTGGAGTTCTGCTGGACTCAACCCGACTCCTGGAGTTCTGCTGGACTCAACCCGACTCTTGGAGTTCTGCTGGACTCAACCCGTCCTCTCGAGCAAAAAACTCTTTCTATATTTATTTATCTGTTTTATTCTGATCTACTTCAGGAACCAAGAGGGTTCTGCAGCTCGGGAGGCGGGTCGGCGGGAGGAGACGAATCTGGACGAGGACGAGACGGATCTGAACGCCGCGAAGGTAAAACCTCCGAGTCCGGTTTTAATAATGAAAACATGTTTTAAAAGTTTCAAACGTTTGAAATCAGATAATAAAAACAAAGTTAACGGGTCTGAACTCCCTGAAAGAACAAACGTCGCCCGCTGCACGTCGCCCGCTGCACGTCGCCCGCTGCACGTCGCCCGTCACCATCCAGGACCTTTGGACCGAGTCGAGCTCCGGTCGAGACATGATGCAGTTTTAGAGGTTTAGGATGAACCTTGAGATTAAAGAGGACTCTCAGCTACTACCACCCAAACCTGAGCTCCATATCTGTAAAGCCGGTTGAGTTCAAGCCTTTTCCGTGTTTGCTAATGGTGATTAGCTGCGGCGGCCATCTTGAATCAGGCTGACTCAAACTGGTAATCATTTTCTGACGCACATCCAGAGATTAATGCCTGAACGTTCCACTCAAATCCGTTCCACGGTTCAAGAGATATTTTGCTAACAGACACGGGCACAAACATGACTGTTTTCAGCAGTGGGTCCGGGAACAAAACTTTAGCTGTTAAACTCGTCAAAATCAGCTAAAGGAAGTGAAATATTTTACTAAACTAGAGAAACGTCACTTCCTGTGGATGATTTCTGCTGAAAATGTTTCGTCTCTAAACTCTCGATGAGTTTAATTTGAACAGCTGACGTTTGATGAAAGCAGGAGATTAAAAGAAAACAGAAGGAAAACAGCAGAAATGAGCCGAATAAACTGAAATAGGCCAAGAGCGGCTGAATTGATTACAAAAAAGAGAAAATTGGATGAAAAAAATAGCTAGAAAAACTTTAAAATAAAAAAGCTCAAATTAACAGAAAGAGATAAAGGTGGATAAAAGTGGAACTTATTATAAAGAAGCACAAAAGGCTGAAATTGGCAACAAAAAGGCTAAAATTAGCAGAAAAATGCCCAAAAATAGCTAAAAAAAATGTTAAAAGCTGAAATTAGCTGAGCTGAAATGAGCAGTAAGTTTTTAATCAACTCAGAGTTTGAAGAGAGCTCAATGAGAAAAACATGGCCGACAAAGCTAAATGTTTCAAAAAGCACAAACAGCAGAAGTCCCAGCAGGAACGAGCCGAACGTTTTGAGACATGGACTGTTGTCGCAGAACAGAAACGAGCTGCGTTCTGGAAAAAAAAAAGAGGATCTGGTCTGACGGTTCTCCTCCTGTCCACCAGGTGGCGCTCTGCGAGGCTCTGAGGAGCAGCGTGGCGGCGCTGCAGCAGCAGAAACGGGCCCTGGGTGAGGAGCTGAGGCAACACCGGGCTCTCGGGTCCAGCCTCGAGGTCCTGATCCAGGATCGGCTAAAAACCAACGAGAGGGAGAAGTACAGCGTGTTCGTCGGTACGAGCCCGACGGATAAATGTTCCCGCGGCGTGTCGGACCCTCCGCTGACCCGGTTCTGTTTGTCCGCAGGAGACCTGGAGAGGATCGTGCACCTGCTGCTGTCTCTGTGCAGCCGCCTGGCCCGGATCGACAGGACGCTACTCTGTCCGCAGAGGACAGAGAGCACCGCCGAGGAGAAGGTGAGGCTCCGCCCACCTGGAGCACACCTGCCAGATGTTCCCAGACTGACTCCCAATCAGGTGTCCTGCTGCAATAAAAACATTTTAAAAAGCCCACCTGTAAAACTGCTGAACTGCTAGTTTGAGTCTCCAACAGTCAGGGCTCTGAATTACAAACAGCTAAATGTTTTGTGTCGCCACTAGAGGGCGATCATGTCCAACCAGTGACGTCAGTTTGAGGACCATAAAGACAGAAATTGTCTTTTTGAGCAGCTGAACTCTGGTTCGTTCCTTCTGAGTGATCCACAGAGTTACCTGGCTGTAAAACAATTAAATGGACATTTCTGTGAAAATGATCCGGTACAAGAACTGAAACTGTGAAAGAGCAGCCGAAGTCCAAAACTTCAGAAAGTCTGGAGAGCTGTTGATCCAGATTGCAGGAAAGGTTTGGCTGATTTGAAGGAAAATACTAAAAAACTGTGGGTGTCTTAAAACTTTTCAAGCGTTTTCTATACAAAGATTAAAAACATGTTCCTAATGAAGAGCCTTGAGGTACTCCACAACTAAATGGGGACAGAAATATTGCTAAAAGTTTGTCTTTGAAACGAAGCTCGTGTTTTTTGTCGTCCTCAGGACTCCCTTCATCACAAACGCTCTCTGCTCCTCCTCCAAACCGAAGACGCCCGGGAGCTGAAGGAGAACCTGGACCGTCGGCAGCGCGTGGTCCACGCCATTCTGTCCGGCTACCTCACCGAAGCCCAGCTCCGCGACTACCGCCGCTTCGTCGGCGCCAAACCCTCCCTCCTGATCCACCAGCGTCACCTGGACGACCTCATCCGGCAGGGGGAGGAGCAGCTGACCGGGCTGGTCGAGAGTCTGCCGGCGGAGCTGGCCGAGGCCCGCGGCTGGTCCACATCCTGCTCCCCTCTGGCTCCGCCCTTTGTGACTACAGGCTCCGCCCACTCCTCCAGACCCACCACCGTTACATCGCTGTAAAAATGTTGACAAAAGCTGCGTTCGGAACCACGCCTGGTTCCTGTTGGAGGATTTCCAAAAACTTTTTTGAGTTGAAAGAATAAATGGGTCAACAGACGTGTCGTAGTTTGCTTTCAGGTCGATTGAAGCCGAAAAAAATTTAGTTTTTACCAAGAAAAGACCCAAACAGATAAAACTGTCCATTAACGGCCTGAGCGGTGCTTTCAGGGACCTCCAGGAAGTCGTCACTCCTTTGGACCGGACGAAACGACCCCAGAAACGAGGAGGAAGTCCTGTCCGAGTTTTCAGACCGAGACCAACCGGCGACCCCGCCCTGCCCTCGGACATGTACCGTCGACGCACGGAAAAAAACGGACGCCAAAATGTATAAAACTTCTTCCGTCACGGCGTCCTGACGGCTCGTCGCGTCGAGCCGTAACTTCCTGTCCGTTCACGCAGCTTTGAGCACTTTGCCGCCGTCGGACTGTTTCACGCTGGTTTCATCTTTTTTCACAGTTTTTGTTTTTCGTTTCACGGCACGCTAACAAACTGTCGGCACATCCGAAGACACTTTTTAACTCCCTGCCGTTTTATTTATGAAGTAAAACAAAATGAAGGATTACAGAACAGTTTAATCCCCAAAGATATTTAATTTTGTACGATAATAAACTACATTTTGATTCTCTGGATGTTTCGTTAACTCTACAACGTGCTGAAGTCCGCCGCCTGTGAATATTCGTGTGGAAACGGAAAAAAACGAGTCGTTCTTCGATCTGCGCCGGTTGTTTTTCTTCAATAAAAGCACTTTGACAGCTTGTTTTTGGTTATTTGAGATAAAGTTGTGACTTTAACTGTTTCTCAGAGTAGTTGTTGGGGATGACTCTCAGCTACTACCACACCAAATTGTATCTCATTATTTTTAAAATTGAGTTGTTGCCTTTTCTTTAAAGTTCATTAGCTCTGGCAGCCATCTTGAATCAAGCTGACCCCCGTCATTACTTTCTGAAAGTTTCTTTAAAATCCGTTCAGTGATTCATGAGATATTTTGCTAACAGACATGTCATGAATGTAAAACTGCAAAGAGGGGCAGGTGTATCACGGGGGCACGCCCCTGACGAGCTGCATGGAGCCGTCTTACCTGGATGATTTTAAAATACACAGAAAATACATTTTAAAAGTAAAATCTCATAAAAACACGTAATGACTAAGGTTAATGTTATTTTTGTGAAACGTTTCCATAAATTAAAAAATGTAAACTTAAAGCTTCACATCCGGGTCACCTGTCGGAATGCAGCAGGTGAGTGCGGGGTTAAATACCTGAGGTGGGCGGGGCTTGTTATGGTTCGACAAAACCAACTGTCGGACCTTTGAGATCCACAAACCGCCGGAGGGACGAGCAGGGATGGCGGGGGACCTGACCCAGGACTCGGTGCTGTGGTTCCTCCAGAGCCGCGGGGGTTCGGCCAAGAACTCGGACCTGCTGCTCCACTTCAGAGCCTTCCTGCAGGACCCCGCGAACCGAGACCGGAACCGGGAGCTCTTCAAAAAGTACGTGAACTCCGTGGCCATCGTGAAGCAGGTGGACGGGGCGTCCCACGTCGTCCTCAGGAAGAACCTCAGAGGACACGTCTCCGGGGACGGGCGGGACTCGTCACGCGCCGGGAATTACACGGAGCCCGTCGCGGTGAAGACGGAGCGGGCGGGGAGCCGCGCCCCGCCGGGAGAAAAGGAGCGGAACGCGGCTCTACCTGCGGCTGGGATCGTGGGGAAGAACCACGACAACGTGGAGACACAAACAAACAAACAACTTCCAGAACAACAAGAAGTAAACATCAGGAACGCCAGCCCTGAACCATTAATTAGACGGGGTCAACAACAGGTAAACATCAGATCTGACCCAGCAATTAGACCAGTTCAGGTGGGGGGTCAACAACAGGTAAACATCAGATCTGACCCAGTAATTAGACCAGTTCAGGTGGGGGGTCAACAAGACTTAAACATCAGATCTGACCCAGT